AGGTAGGTAGGTAGATTGGTAGATGAGAATGAAGGACTTATTTATAGGTAACATTTCTAAAACTTACAAAAGACTAGAGTTGCAAGTATTCAAATAACTGGAACTATAAATGTGAAAAACTATTAGGTAATACTGTTATGTGAAAAATATTTTAAATATAACCAAATTCAGTTCTTAACATTTTTAGTGGTTTTGGTTGAATACAATATAAATTTATCACTGATTGCATTGCAAATATTAGTTCTAAGTGATTATAGTATCTGTTTATTTAATAAATGGGAAATTGGGGCCTTAATGGTTTCCAAATATTAGAATTTATTTTAAAAATTTGTGTCAAATTGTTTTGAATCAATATAGTAGAAATCTGGTCTAACTGTATCCACATGATAAGTATTATAAAGTTATTCCAACAGGTGGAAGAGCTTAGTCCAAGTTTAGGAACCAGAAGCATGAGAGAATACAAAGAGAGCTAAGAACTACATTGGGCTTCTGCTACATGTAGAAATAGTAGACTCTAAAATTGCTTACCTGAGAATAGCCAGCCTTTACAACTCAGAGCACTCAAAAGTACATTCATTGTACTAAACTAGCAATACCCTGCATTTATACGATATACATTACAACATCATAGGAGCTTAGTAAATGTTGCCTATATGAATAGTATACTTAAGGTTTATAGGATTCTCCTGCCCGTTTCATTAGATCACCATCACACTCAGGAGTAGCATGTCAGGTTATCAGCCTGATTTTATTGATGAGTAAACGAGGGAAGTTTAGTGATTTGCCTGGTTGTTCTGCCATGCAGTGACAGTGCCTCATACCTTGCTGTCTCCCACTGACACGATGTTCATTGCCAACAACAGATTCATCACTTACCACGCTATTAGCTCACCATGAGATTGGGAGCAGTGAATAGAGTTTGAGGTGGCAGGAGAAGCAAAGGGAATTATAAAAGAATTTCCACTAGTCAGTTCTGCTCCATTCCTGTTCAGTGATAAAGACGACAGAGAGCTAATATTTCATCACAAAATGGAAGGTACTTGTTGTTCGGCTTTACTTGTTCGGGTATTTTTACTTCTTTTATTAACTAGTACTCAGGTTTCTAGACCAACTCTGTTCTTACTGAAATCACTGCTTAATCATACATTACAATTCAGGATAAACGTGTAATCAGTCCCTCATGTTTATTAGCTAGTTTTTCCCTTGGGAAGTTTGCAGCTAGCGGCTAGAGCGGAATCGTTTGTTCTGCAGCTGCATGCCTCATCATTCTCTAGAGGGCTGTGGAACCAACTGGCCTCATAGGCAGGTTGGGAAGACACAAATGCAGTTTTGCTGAGAACTTCTGAACATAAGCTTATGTTCCCTTCACTACTGTGAGTAAATTTTCTCGGTAAATGATGGAGATAGAAAATAGAGGGATACCGGCTTTTCTGTGCCACTCGTAGTGTGACCTACCGGTCCCGTGTGAGTTACCACTTTTCCTGACCCTGTCTTCCATTGTGCTCTATGTAACTTGCTGAATTGAAGAACAGTCTTCATGTTTCCAGTATCCGGTTCTGAGAACTGGAAGGGGGCAAAGCTTAGTGAGTTGGTTATTGGTAGCTTCCTCTTAGGAGACCAGTGTGGGTTAATAACTGGGAGAATTTTTTTGACCTGTCACCAGTGTACTCATGTTGATGATGGTGGCTTTAAGATTTATTAAGCATAGAAATCTCATTTCTGTTAACTATGTGCATAGAAATGGAAGTAATTTAATGAATATCTGTAAGTTTGAATGAGGCCTGGTTTTCCACTGATAAAAAAATATTTTTTTCTTTTACCTCCCAAAGAACTATTCGTCAGAAATGTTTCTACCC